AGGTGCTGATACGCCGGTCGCGGCGAGCGTGGGTTCCGCCCCAGCCCTTGGCGGCCTCGGGTACGAGGACTGTGAGGGTCTCGGGCCTCTCCCCTCCCGTGCCTGGGCTCTCGGCGCCTTTCCCGGCCGGACCCCGCGCCTCGCGACCGCCTGGGTCAGAGCCGCTCCGGGCGCGGGCCGGTCGTAACCGCGCCTCGGGCCGGACGATGCCCAAGAAGCTGCTGCTGCTGCCCCCGCTCTCCGCGTCCTCGACCCTCCGCGCCCCGCGAGCCCGCCCCGCCGCCCGCCCGGCCATGAACGCCGCCCGCACCGGCTACCGAGTCTTCTCGGCCAACTCCACGGCCGCCTGCACCGAGCTAGCCAAGCGCATCACCGAGTAAGGGGGCGGGGCGGGGCCCCTTCCCTCCGCGTCGCCCTGCGCGCGGGCCGCGGAGCCGCGGTCGGGCGGGTCCTGCACTGGACCGACCCTTGGCGGGTGGCCCTTCTGCAGCGGGGACGCGGGTCGGCCGACTCTCCGACTTCTCCCCGCGCCGGGTTCCTTGCACCGCTCGCCCTGTCTCCTTCGCCCCACTCCCACTTCCCGGGCCGGGGTGGCGAAGGCTGCCGTCACCCCCCGAGGGAGCGCCTGGACCGGGGGGCTCTGGGTGCGGCTCCCTGTGCCAGGGCGGGAGTGGACCTCGGAGACAGGTCGTCGCCCCCCCCTCCCCTAGCTCTCCTCGGTGGGCCCGAGGCCCGCAGGTCCCGGAGCTGAGACGCGCAGGACCGGGCCTGGCGGCGCCAGGGGACCTGCTACACTTGGGGGACGGCGGCCCTAGGGGGGCGGCTTCAGGGCCTTGCAGGTGGAAGGCGCAGGATGCACCAGCGAAGCAGAGGTGGAGGGAAGGGCAGTAAGAGCAAAGCAAGGCGACTCCAGGGGAACAGAGTTGTCGGAGTTGGTAGAAATGATAAGTTTAATCGTGTTTCCCAAGTCGACTTCAGACTCGATCACTTAAAGCCTTTGCCTCTCCGTATGTTTTCAACCCGAGGAAGCCAGTGATCTCACGTGGCTTCTGGGATCTGACAGCTCTGAGATGCCTTTTCAGTCTTGCGCCTTACTAGCCCTGTGGCACTGGGCAAGACACTTGATTTTCCTGAATTTCACTGGTAAGATAGGGACGGTGCTATCTACTGGGCAGGAACGTCGTGAGCATGAACAAAATAATGACGGTAAAGCATGTAGCAGAGCAGGGGCTCACAGTGGCCCTCTGAATAATACCTCTTTTCTTTTCTTTTCTTTTCTTGATTTTATTTATTTATTTGAGAGAGAAAGAATGAGAGACAGAGCAAGAGAGGGAGGAGGATCAGAGGGAGCCTGATGCGGGACTCGATCCCGGGACTCCAGGATCATGACCTGAGTGGAAGGCAGTTGCTTAACCAACTGAGCCACCCAGGCGCCCCTAATACCTCTTTTCTCCTTGGCTCTGTTGGAGAGTCCCAGAGCTCTAATGTAAAGGAAGGGCCTTAGGAGCCCTTTCCAGATAAACGAGTGACAAACGTTAAGATATAAAATGAATGGCTTGTTTTTTAACGTTCAAAGTCATTTTCGTATCTTAAGCGATTTACATTAGAGTTCCTCTGGATTTTTCAGAGTTGATAAATAATTGCAAGAATCGGTTTTTAGATTCTAGATGGAAATGTAGAAGGGAAACTTTAGTCATATTTACTCAGTAAGACCTACGTTCTTTTCCGTTGGAGTTTTAAGTGAGTTCAGAAGAGTAAATCCTTTTGCAATCTACTACCTAGTTTCTGTTTCTAACCCCTGATAAATGTCTGGCTTTTGGAGGCCAACTAAAATGCTAACTTTATTTATTTATTTATTTTCTAAATGTTCATTTATTCATGAAAGTCAGAGAGAGAGAGAGAGAGAGAGAGAGAGGCGCAGAGGCAGAGGGAGAAGCAGGCTCCCCGCCTAGCAGGGAGCCCGATGTGGGACTCGATCCCAGGACCCTGGGATCATGACCTGAGCCGAAGGCAGACGCTTAACCATCTGAGCCACCCAGGCGCCCTAAAATGCTAACTTTAAATATAAAGCTCATATTTGTTTATTTTGGGTCAGATTTACGACAGTGACCTTGCTGAGGGAGGAGGGCACATTTAAAAAGGTCAATGGTTTTGCTTTTTAAATATTAGGTTCTTCCCTACCTTGTTCCAGAAATGTTTTAAATTACTGTAAATAATATTTGTAAATACTTCCTTTATCTGTTTCATATCTGGAGTTTCTGAGTAAGATTTTATTTGAAAAAAGGCCTTTACCACTAGGCAAAGTTTGAAGGTCCCTGAGGTTATGATATTTTATTTCCTGATTGCTTTTGGATCTGAACTTCCAAGCAGGAATTTTCAAACTTTTTTGGTTATGCACTTTAATCAATAAAAAAGGTGGGTTACATTCCCAGGATGTATGTAAGTTACACGTGTGTTAGAATTAACCCCCAGTGTCCTTCATCCAGCTTCAATTTAGCAACTTTTTGTTAATCTTATTTCATTTACTTTCCCCATCTCTCACCTTTTTTTGGCTGGAGTTTTGTTTTGTTTTGTTAAGTAAGCTCTATACCCAACATGGGGCTCGAACTCATGACCAGGAGATCAAGAGTTACGTGCTCTACTGACTGAGCCATCCTGGCACCCTAAGGAGTATTTTTTTTTAATTATGGTAAAATATACATAACATAAAATATACCATTTAACCATTTTTAAGTATATAATTCAGTGGCATTAAGTACATCTACAGTGTTGTATAACTGTCACCAGGATCCACTTCCAGAACTTTTTCATTATGCCAAACAGAAACTCCACATCCAACTAACTCCCCAATCCCTTCCCTCCCAGTCCCTGGTAATTTCTATTCTACTTTCTGTGTCCGAATTTGCCTGTTTCTAAGTACCTCTTATAAACGGAATCATGCAATATTTGTCTTTTGTGTCTGACTTAGAATAACAACTTTTTCAGGGTTCATATTATAGCATGTATCAGAATTTCATTCCTTTTTAAGGCTGAATAGTATTCCTTTGTAGACCTGACTGGAATAAGTTTATTTTTTTATTTATACTATGCACACTCCTTTTTTTTTTTTTAAAGATTTTATTTATTTATTTGACAGAGAGACACGGCAAGAGAGGGAACACAAGCGGGGGGGGTAGGAGAGGGAGAAGCAGGCCTCCCACGGAGCAGGGAGCCCGATGCGGGGCTCCATCCCAGGACCCTGGGATCATGACCTGAGCCGAAGGCAGACGCTTAACGACTGAGCCACCCAGGTACCCCTACTGTGCACACTACTTGTTAACTGTTTATTTATCAAGAGAAACTATTTCAGGGCGCCTGGGTGGCTCAGTTGGTTCGGCAACTGCCTTCGGCTCAGGTCATGATCCTGGAGTCCTGGGATCGAGTCCCGCATCAGGCTCCCTGCTCAGCAGGGAGTCTGCTTCTCCCTCTGACCATCCCCCCTCTCATGTGCTCTCTCTCTCTCATTCTCGCTTTCTCAAATAAAAAAATAAATAAATAAAATCTTAAAAAAAAAAAAAAAAGAGAAACTATTTCATACCCCAGGATTCGTGTTTCATAGTTGGGGAACACAGGTCAGGGACAGACTTTCATGGAATGCAGCCCACAGAAATTCTTTATGTTCCAGCATCACTTTGCACTCTGAAAGATAAGATACCAGCCTTCTTCATCTCAAAATCGATCATGGAATCGTAATTTCTGTAGAAATCTATGTATGTCTCCTTTCTTGGTTGAGCCACAGCAAACTTGAGAGAAAGCTGCTACCCGCCGGGGTACGAGAACACTCGACAGTCTGAAATGGCTGACGCTTGGCCAGAAGCCCTTGCATCTGAGGTGTCATCAAAGCCCTGAAAGCCGCGGTAGTCCATCTCAATACAAACCTCAAACCCCATGTCCTTGCTCACTGCTCCACTGCACACCTGGCTGGAGTATTTCTAAACAGATACCACCCCTGCGTCATAATATTTCACTCATCAAAGTGGTAATGCTAGCTGGTAACTAAAAAAATCGACCACAGGGGTGCCTGGCTGGTTCAGTCGGTAGGTCATGCAGCTCTTGATCTCCAGGTCATGAGTTTAAGCCCCACGTTGGGTGTAGAGCTCACTTAAAAATAAAATCTTTAAAACAAAACAAAACAAAAACCTTTGATGCCGTTAATTCCTTGTTATCATTTGGTATCCATCCTTGTGCGTATTCCCCTCCCTCTCTCAAAAAGGCTTTTTATACTTGGTTTGTTCTAATCAGGATCCAAACAAGATTCACACCGCATTTGGTTAATGGCACTGAAGTCTATATGTTTTTGACAATTGAGGCCTTTACCTCTGGCTTGTGGTTTTGCAACTAGTGCTAATAACCATGCGTTTGTTTGGGAATGATTTTGCAAGGCCGTTATGATTCAGAAAACAATGAACTGGACGTGAAACTTTGGTCGCAGACCCCGGTAGAGGAGTGTGTCACGAAATGGTGGGTGCTCGAAGCTGCTTGCGGAGGGGTAGCAAATGTGTAGTTCTTAATGCGTTAAACTTTCTGAACTGTCTGGTTTTTTTGGGAAAGAATGCTGGTCTAGTTATTTTAGCCTTTTTGTTAAACTACGCATATGAACTGGAGGGTTTTTTTTTAAAGAGCATTCTTAATTGCCTTCCCCCCTGCATAGGCGTCTTGGTGCTGAATTGGGGAAATCTGTGGTCTATCAAGAGACCAATGGAGGTGAGTTAAAATGATTTCTTAAACATCCTTTGTTCTCTAACTCTGTTTAGTCAACAGACATGTTTTTAAAAGTCAGATATTACATGCAACACAAAAACATTTTTCTCTTTAACATCAGGTCTCAGCCATGACGCTCTACTTCCCTCCAAGTCTTGATTTCTTTCTTTGTTCTCTTTCTTAGTCTCCTTCCCCTTCTTCCCAAGATAATGCAAATGTCCTGTCATTTTACAATGAAAAAAGGAGAAATGTAGAGAATATGTTTTTTCTTCTGTATTGGGCTACATTTGATAAATACCTTTTACATTTATCTGTCTCATTAGGTCATCAACTGGTATCAAGAGCAATCTGTTACCAGGTAGTAGTGACTTATTGAAAAACCGTCTTTTGAGTTCTTTCATCCGCAAATTTTGCTCTCAGGTCTCTTGTACACTCTCATCCTGGGTTGATAACCCATTTTTGCTGCTGTCCGCATTTCTGTGGAAAATTGTAACATTAAACGATAATGCTTGAAAGCCCTTTGTTGATGGCCAGTGTCCTAGGAAATGCTGCATCATCAGTCTCCCTAGTGGGGCCACATACTTCAGACTATAATGCCCTGCGGAGACAAATTAATATAAAATAATTTGGAGCTATTTTTGCAAAGTTGAAACCTAGGTTTATGACCCTGTGCTTCCTTTTTTCTTTCTAAGGTATAACTATCTATGATAAATTACTGAGACATAATGATGTTCAGGGATCTAAAAAAACAAGGTATTTGAAAAGGGAAAGGTAACTTAATGGATAGTTTAGTGGAAAGCACTTAACACCCAGGATGTTATAAGTTCCATCTGTGATATAATTAGCCCCTAGATATCCTTCAGCCAGCTTCCACACTTAGTAACTTTTTTTTTTAGTTTTATTTATCCAAGTAATCTCTACAACCCATGTGGGGTTCGAACTCAGGACCCCAAGATCAAGAGTCCCATGCTCCTCTGACAGAGCCGGCCAGGGGTCCCCATACTTAGTAAGTTTCTACTTGGTGACTAGAAACTTTACTGCCAAGACAGGAGATGTTGGTATTTAAAAACCTAAAGATGGGGGCGCCTGGGTGGCTCAGTCCATCAAGTGTCCGACTCGATTTCTGCTCAGATCATGATCTCAGCGCCGAGTCATGCTCAGTGGGTGGGATCTGCTTGAGATTCTCTCTCCCTCTCCCTCTGCCCCTCCTCCTGCCCTCTCAAATCTTTGAAAACAAAAAACCCCTAAAGGTGAAGGCAGATAGGTGAGCTACTCTATTTAGCAATAACGATCTTAATTTATGGTGATGGCATTTGGGAATCTCCTGAAAATAAGCACCGGAGGAGGAGAAGCTGGTTTCATGAAGACCTTTATCAGGACGCCTGGGTGGCTCAGTCAGTTAAACCTCCGACTTTTGGTTTTGGCTCAGGTCATGATCTCGGGGTCCTGGGATTGAACCTGCCTCAGGCTCTGCGCTCAGCTAGGGGCCTGCTTGAGACTCTTCCTCTTCTCTCCCTGCTTGCACACTCTCTCTCTCTCTCAAATAAATAAATAAATCTTTTAAAACATCTTAAAAAAAAAAAAAGACCTTTTTCTCCATCCTTCCATCACTGTTCTAGGTCTCTTCTCCCTTCCTCCCTCCTTCTCCCCTCTCCCTAGGTCTCTTCTCCCTTCCTCCCCTCTCCTCCCCTCTCCTCCCCCTCTGGCTGTTACAGTAGCTTGTTAACAGACCTTCCTGCCTCCATTTTCAGTCTCCCTAGGCCATTCTACTCACCTCCACCAAGGTGCTTCCAAAATGCAACTGTTTTTGACTTTTCACTGCTGAAATCCTTCGGGCTAGAGTCCGGTCTCCTTAGCATCCACCCAGGGCCCTTTGGGATCTGAGCTGTGCCCACTCGCTGCTTATCGTCCATCCTGTCTGACATGTGTGCTGTGACTCACGACTACACCTTCAGTCTGTCGGCTTCTCACACCTCCGCTGCCGCCCTCCTGGCTGGACCACTGTCCTTGTTTGCCGGGACTCCTTCAGAACCAACTAGGGTAGCCTTCCTGCTGCCACTGTCGCCCTCCAGTTTTCTTCACATAGCAGTCAGCGATCACACCCCCTCCATCCTTGACTCCTTCACCAGTGGCTCTCCTGTCACCCTTAGAATGAAGTCCAGACTCCTGCATGGTCTGGCCCCCGCTGGCTACCTGACCTCTCTCTCCTCCTCATTCACTGCGCTTTCCAAGCGGGTAACTGGCTAGCCCTCCGCGTGGCACGCTCTGCCCCCGTATCTCTGCATATTCCGTGCTCCCTTCCTCGGTACATGTTCCAGCTTGCAGTGAGGCCATTGTTTCCAGCCCTATTATTCTCTCTCCTGGTCTTTTCTTGTTTTTAAGATTTATTTATTAGAGTGTGCACGAATGGAGTGAGGGGCAGAAGGAGAGAATCCTCAAGCAGACTCCCCACCGAGCAGGAAGCCCGATGCAGGGCTCGATCCCACGACCCGTGAGATCACCACCTGAGCTGACACCAAGAGTCAGACGTTCAACCAGCTGAGCCACCCAGGCGCCCCTCTTTTTGTTGTTGAGTTTTTTTTTTTTTTAAGTAGGCTCCATGCCCAATATTGGGCTTCAACTCTTAATCCTGGAATCAAGAGTTGCCTGCTCTCCCGACTGAGCCAGCCAGGTACCCCATCTCTTGGTCTTTTTCTGGCACATTGGCCTGAAAAGTCGGCCAGCCTTTGGCATTGCGTTGTCTCTGCTGTATAGGTCTTCATACACTTGGCCCACGTCCTCCACTTCAGGACCCGAAGGACAGGGCCTGGCACAGAGGAGGCCTTGGCATTTGTTGAAAGAAGGATGTTAACCTTTGACTTCTTTATTTGCTGTAGACTTTTCCCCAAGCCTCTCATCTTTATTTTGGTGTTGGATTTTCTTTTTTGAACCTTGAGATTTTCTGTGGACCTGTTGGTGTTACTTTTGCCTTTTGGCATACTTTTGGCTTATTTTCCCTTTAGCTTCACATTTTTTGTATACATACTTGTCATTCTGAGATCTATTCCGAATTTATTTTGGTGCACTAGATGAAGTGTTGGTTTAGATTCATCTCTACTCCCTCCAACTGCTGCCTAATTATTGTATCACAAAGTGCTTTTCTTAAACAATAGAACTTTTTTATTTTTCAGAAACAAGAGTTGAAATAAAAGAGTCTGTTCGTGGCCAAGATATTTTCATTATACAGACAATACCCAGGTAAGAGTTAGCACTACTTTATGTATCCCTTTTCCTCTAAAAATCTTAGTGATGCAATTTACTATGTTATCATATAAACAACAATTGAGTTTTCTTTCACTATAAATGTGTTTGCATGTTCAGCTGAATGCTTACCAAAATCCAGTTGTAGGCTTTTAACATTCCTACCCTGTTTGTCACATTGTACTATTGATCTTCCTATCCAAGCTTAAACCACTCAAGGGGAAAAATACCTTCCTTACCTCCATATGCACTGAACCTAGTCCATGTCTGCTCCGCTCTGCTAAAAAGCTTTTTGTTGTTAAATGCAATGCATAACTGCTGCCGATTGGTACCCATCAAGACAGTCTTTGCACTTTATTTATTTATTTATGTTCAGTTAGCCAGCATATGGTACATTATTAGCTTTTGATTGCACTGTATTTTTTTTTTTTTTTTTTTTTTGCACAGTGGCCCATTTCTAGCTGTCTATTGTAGATAGCATCTGCCACCCCTTCCCTTAGGGAAATCCTAGCCTACCTGAGGGTGACCTTCCCTGTGGGATTATCTACTCTGATCCCCTCCCAGTGAATGGGGTAGTTAGGCTATGTGTGTCTTTGAAAAATGCAGACCTTCGTGTCTTGGTTAATTTAGATTCCTGAGACTGTCAGTAATAAGAATGGCGCTGAACTCCAGCAGCGCGCACCCACGTACCTGTATCATCTTTCATCCTTAAACCACATCGGGCTTGGAAGCTATTCTGAGCCTCAGTGACAATGTGACTTGTAATAAGAAACATATATTTGGGGGGGGCGCCTGGGTGGCCCAGTCGTTAAGCCTCTGCCTTCGGCTCAGGTCATGATCCCAGGATGCTGGGATCGAGCCCCGCATCCGGCTCCCTGCTCCGCGGGAAGCCTGCTTCTCCCTCTCCCACTCCCCCTGCTTGTGTTCCCTCTCTCGCTGTGTCTCTGTCAAATAAATAAATAGAATCTTTAATTAAAAAATAAATAAAAAGAAAGAAATACATGTTTGGTCTTCCTTTCCTGGTGCTGAGTTCCTAAAACCCTTGGAATTTCCTAAGGGATAAGAGCAATAAAGGTGTCTTTTGTATTTAACAAGCCCCCTTTCAACCATGCCTGAGGTGGTTTTTGGAAAGCACCTAGGTAATGCTGAGATGGGGGCTCGTTTTTTTTGTTTTGTTTTGTTTTGTTTTGTTTTTAAAGATTTTATTTATTTATTTGAGAGAGAGAATGAGATAGAGAGAGAGAGAGCATGAGAGGGGGGAGGGTCAGAGGGAGAAGCAGACTCCCTGCTGAGCAGGGAGCCCGATGCGGGACTCGATCCCGGGACTCCAGGATCATGACCTGAGGCGAAGGCAGTCACTCAACCAACTGAGCCACCCAGGCGCCCTGAGATGGGGGCTCGTTACCAGGGGACCAACAGCAGCCGGTTTATAGGGTTGGAACTTTCAGCTCCTCCCTCCCCCTGGGGCGGGGGGTGAATCAGTCCTCAGTAGCCGATACAGAGGTGCCTGCAGCAAAAACCTGCCTGCGTCCTATTTGTCTTAGCGGTGATCAGGAAGATTCCAAGAAACTAGAGTGCTGGGTGCGAGGATCCCGGCCTTTGTAGTATTGGTAGATGGGGCGCAGTGTTGATGGCCACTCCTCTATCGCCCTCTAGTCCTCCAGCAATTTGGGTTTTGTGCTGGTTGCCTCCTGGTCATGGCATTCTTGCCTAGTGCTTTGTTTGATGCTGCACCTTGGAAAGGAGGGGAAGACCTGTGGGTCTTTCCTGGGAGTAAAATGCTGCGGAGTGAGGGCCCTGGGACACCCCTCGAGGCCGCCCTCTGGTGTTGTGCTTGTCACCCTGGCTTTTGTCCTTGGCGAAGGGTAAGGCTGCATTGTCCTCACTCCTGTTGCTGTGGCCGCCGCCCCAACACCTCCGGCGTTGGGGCTCACCTTCCGAAACCACTCAGAGCTTACAGCCTATTTCTTGTGACCACTCCAGTCAAGGTACATTTTTGATTGCTGCGGGCGGAATTTAATTATTTGGAAATGGCAAAAAGCCATTCAGAAGGAAGTGATTTTGTTGCATGAGTGAAATGTGTGATACTCGAGGAGCTTTCAGTTATACTGAGCAAGGAAAGTAAAATGGATATGAAGCTTACCAAGTGTTTCTTGAGGGACAATTTCCCTGTTTATGTTACAAGCTCTAGTGTGTTGGTGTAATGTAAGAAGGGTCACTAAAAGCACATTTACTATTTGCTGCAGATGATTAATTCTTAGGGTTGGGGGTGGGGGAAATCCTACCGCATTCCCGTGCCCTCGTGACTTTCATCTATGGTGTTGGCCTGTCTTTGCAGTCCCCTTCTGTTCAATTGATGTGTATAGACCATGTCTGTTTCCTTACATTTGTCCTTGTCTATCAAAAATGACAGAGCAGTAAGGGTCAAATTTAATATAGGATGTGCTTATCTTAGGGGAAAGAAAAACGAGTCGGTTGGTAAACAATTAAGATTGTCCTACTTAGATACAAAGGCCCCAAGAACTAGCCAGGATGTACTTGGAACAGTCTTAGGGAACAGATAAACAAAGTAGAGGCTGCCAGCCAACTTCTCTTCACCCTGCTAGCCCACAGATTAACTGCCTGGTGTCCAGTTTGTCTGGTGTCCGGCAGTGCATGGGGAAAGCCAATGTGACAAAGGCTCTTTTGTCGCCTTCCTGACCAAAGGGGTGGGGCATGGGAGGCTTTCCTTAGCCTTGAGCTGGAGGATGTTGAATCCCTTGGCAAGGGTCATTAGGAAAAGGGACAAGTAGAAAATGAAACCTCATGGCAGAAATTAGTAATTAATGGGGGGCGCCTGGGTGGCTCAGTTGGTTAAGCGACTGCCTTCGGCTCAGGTCATGATCCTGGAGTCCCGGGATCGAGTCCCACATCGGGCTCCCTGCTCAGCAGGGAGTCTGCTTCTCCCTCTGACCCTCCCCTCTCTTGTATGCTCTCTCTCTCTCTCTCTCTCTCTCATTCTCGCTCTCTCAAATAAATAAATAAAATCTTTAAAAAAAAAAAAGAAATTAGTAATTAATGGAAGGAAAGTTATACTGAAATCAAGGCCCTTCCGAAAGTGTTCATCTTGTTACGTTAACATCTCACTATCTGGGCCCACCTTGTGGCGTGCTAGCGAAACCTCATTGTAGCCTGTGGTTGTGTGTTATAAATGCTGTCACAAGGCCAGCTAAGAGCCCACCACCTGGACAGATACTCTTCCAGAATCTATTAAATTAACTTCAACTCTGAATATATTGCTGTATTGACAGCTGACGTAAGAAACCACGACCAGGGGGCGCCTGGGTGGCTCAGTTGTTAAGCGTCTGCCTTCGGCTCAGGTCATGATCCCAGGGTCGTGGGATTGAGCCCCACATCGGGCTTCCTCCTTGGAGGGAAGCCTGCTTCTCCCTCTCCCACTCCCCCACTTGTGTTCCCTCTCTCGCTGTGTCAAATAAATGAAATCTTTAAAAAAAAAAAATCCACGGCCAGTGGAGCTTTTATGCTGCCTGCCACACACTATCACACCAGTGGAAGGTTAAGAAAGCTCTGATTGTATTTCTAACATTGACCAACAGTCTGTATGCAGAAGAGGATTTTTGCTATATTGTATATGATGCCCGGTGTTTAGTCTAGATGTGGACTCCTGAGTTCTTTACACACTATCCTTCAAGTACTGCGTAGCCTTCCAGCTGAACATTCAGAACCCATAAGGTATCAATTTAGGTGATGTGATGGGGGAAGGGACGCTCTCCCCTCTGGAATCAAGTATGAAAGCCTTTGGGAGGCAGAATATTGAGTTAGATGTGCTCCTTCTTGGGACAGATGATTACCACAAGGGTGGTCCAGTGTGGGTCTCTGGCATTTTCTTGAGATGTCGTCAGCCTTGTTTGCCATTTTATCTTCACCACCTAACACTGCCTGATTCCTGTTGCTCAATTAATATTTGTTGAATGTATGAATGAACTAACATTGACCAAGTATAATGAATTCCCAAGTACCTTGAAAGTGTTTGATAAGTGTTTTGTCCTGATTTTACCAAAAGATTGTGTGTCCTCTAACCTTTTGATGCCAGACTTGGGACATTATTAATTTGGGACGATGAGGAGGAAAATGTTCCAGTATATTTCAGAGGAAGGAAACAACTGGAAAATAGTGTAACCTGTCAGCAATCCAAAAGGAATGTTGTAGTTGTCTTGAAGTCAAATCCTGAATCAATTATATCTACCCTCTGGGAGAAATGCTTTTATGACAGAACCCTGAAATACTTACAAAAAATCCAAATTACAAAGGTGAGGTTGGGAGTTCTCTAAGTTGAATGTGGACGTGGAAAACACTGTCAGAGGACGATGTCTCCAGTGTGTCACTCCCAGGTGTACTAAGGACGGGCGCCCTTGGGGAGAGAGGCAAACAAACTGGCAGACTGCGAAGATATGGTCTCTCTGTCCTTCAGGCTAAAAAGCAATCTCGTGATGAGTATTTCATTTAACTACTTAAGCATTATGAAGTCTCTGCTATGTTGACGGCAAGCTTTCCGTTTTGCTCTAAATGAGGGCAGCATCACTGCTATGTATCGACAATTCAAGAACTGACACCTGAGAGTCTACTCCTCACGTAGAAACTACATGGGAAATGATCCTCTTTCTCAGGAAGGCAAGGGAGATACACTCCTGATCCAAAAGAGGGGGTGTTTGAGGACTCTTGGATAATCCATGGAGGAGTGGGAAGAGGCTAGAGAGGGAAGGTTGAGCATTGGAAGAGTATCCGAAGGACTTGAGGACTCTCACCTTTTTTTTTTCCTTTCTTTGGAGGATAGGGGAAAGTGATCTGAATTGGGTTATGAGGCCCCCGGGCAGGGTACCTCACCGCAGCCATTGAACTCATCTCCCTGGCTGTGAGAGTCTGTTCCAAGCTCAGGCTAAGGAGGCATCTGCCAGGCCCCTTCCCAAGCCAGGCCCGTCCCCAAGGGCAGGGTCCACTGCATCTCCTACCCAGTCCGCCCTCAGGAGCAACAAGCTGCATTCTCTGAAAACTCACCTCTTTTGAAACTCGGGGAGGATCCTGTTAGGGCCACTTTTGGCTCTAGTCCCAGACCTTCCCAGGTAACATGGGGTAGAGTGATGCAAGGCACTCAGCTCATGGCCCCACTGATGAGCTTCCCTCTACCCTAAGGTTCTCACCTTTTTTAAGGGCAGAGCCCACCTTAGGCTCGACCAGTCATGGCAAGGGGTAGCAATCCACATTCCTTAAAATCGGAAGTAGCCTTTCCTTTGAATATCTTCCAGATTCATATTTCTTTCTTTGTCTCTCTGGGTAATCTTTGTCGGGCATCTGTGTATCTTTAGAAAAAAGGAATGAGGAGATTTTTGTAAACTTAGTTCCAAGACCTCCCCATCCTCCCCCCTACCCTCTACCCTGTGAAGAACAAAGAGAACAAATCCTTTCTGGCCCTGGCAGCCCAACAGCAGGGCAGTGGGTTTCCCTTGGCATCCATAGGAAGCGAGGGGCTGGTGTGCTGGCCTGAGCCTATGGTCCCTGGGACGGTGCCGCAGGTGTTGGCTCGCCCTGGCCGGCAGCTGACATCTGCTTCGTGTGCCACCCCAGTGACCATGTCACCGACAGAAGATCCAGGCAAAGGTGAGCATGGATAACTGGGCACTGGATTTACGTAACTGCAGATGCAAACCACAGCTCAAAAGAAGAGCTAATAAGCTTTCCCCTGGATTGGTGAGGTGCCGTCATCAGCTGGTGTGATGGCAAAATGTCCGTGATGCCCATCCTGGCAGCCCAGGTTAAAATGCTGCCGTTTCAATGAACCTGACCCCAAAATACAAATTGTTCCCGTTTCAGAGATGTGAACACAGCTGTGATGGAGCTACTGATCATGGCCTACGCACTGAAGACTGCCTGTGCCAGGAACATTATCGGAGTCATCCCTTACTTCCCCTACAGCAAGCAGAGCAAGATGAGGAAGCGGGGTTCCATTGTGTGCAAGCTCCTGGCGTCCATGCTGGCGAAAGCGGGTGAGTGTGGGCGCAGGCCCCGGGGGTCCCGCCCTGTCATTTAGGACTCTTGGTGCACCAGCTTAGGCCTTACGTCAGAGAGCTAATTTGGGACCTCTGTTTTCTTTAAGTGTTGTTCACTAATTCCTTTCTTCCTGTTTACTTTTGATAGTCCTGGTTAGGGATATGTGAGCCGAGGTATAAACTCTTATGTTTTCCCTTCCTCTTTGTCTTACTTGACAGTGAGTGACCTTGTCTCTTCTCTAATCCTGGGCTTTTTCATCATTCTGTGCCATCTCATCTTCTCATGAAAACTTTAGCTGCGATCCTGGCGTCCGTATGGGATCTTTTGAGCTGCAGGTGTAGATTTACCTATTTGCCTTGGTTATTAGCTAGATTCCATTTATGTACATAATATTAAAACTGGGTTTTTCTTTTACTGCTTCTCCAGTTTATATAATCCTCCTTTTCCTCCCTCTCTGACATCTTTCTGTATAGCAGCTCATTCTCATTGCTCTTATTCTGTGTTTTTATAGCAGTAACATGCTTTCTGGCCTATGAGCCAAATGTAATGACACTTGATAGCAGTTGGGATTTTATTTGCCTGGTATGTTTACTTAAAAACTCTAATATACATTCAAGTCCTGAGAAACATTTGGATTCCATTCTCTCTAAAAATGTGTAGTGTTTGGGGAGGAACGGGTAATACTGGTTCTTTGCTCTAGAAGGGTTGCAGTGACTTTCGTCCATTTGCAATGTTTTTATATATGTACCTTTTATTTGTTCAGCACGAGTGATTATAAGAGTATGTCTTTATTGTTGTTCTATAAGAGTACTCCTTGACTCATTGTTTTATGACGTTTAGAAGCTGTTCCAAACTCTTCGATATGGATTTTTCTTCTAATACGTCTATTACTTTGCTTTTGTGTTCTTATTCCTTCCGCTCCAGCCACAGGCCTTTAACATTTCTTCCTAGATTCTTTAACCAAGGCCTTGCTATTGTTTACATCCATTACTTCTTCAGTGTTTATTAATTCCATATTAATATTTTTGCTTCTGCCTGATTTTTCTTAATTTTCAGGGCCAAGCTAGTTATGGTAGTAGGGGAGAGCACTTTTTTCTCTGCTTTAGCTCTCTGTCCATGTGGAAGGTTATAGGCTCTTTTACATGAGGCTTGACAACATTCTTTAGTTCATTAAGTGTTGTTAAGGTTACCAGTGAAGTCTGTAACTAATATGCTTGTTCACAATATATTCCCTGCTTTCAGTCTTCGGTTAGGAAACAGGAGTGGGCGTCTAATTTGTGTCCACTGTAGCCATTAACTTGTAGGGGTGAACTTTGTAATTTTTTGTTTTAAAATTTCAGGTTTAACTCACATTATCACTATGGATCTTCATCAAAAGGAAATACAAGGCTTTTTCAGCTTTCCCGTGGACAACCTTAGAGCCTCACCTTTCCTGCTTCAGTATATCCAGGAAGAAGTGAGGAGCCACCAGCAAACACCCCATTGTCCTCAAAAGAGACCCTATGTAGTTTTTCTCTGGTATCAGATTTCAATATTGAAAGGCACATCAGATATCTTTCCCTTAAGTCTCAATGCCTGAGGCAGCCAGATAGGGTCAGCATGTAGGCATGGAGGATCATTTTTTTAAAGCCATTAAAAATGGATTTCCTTCTAAGTATCTTTAGCAATTTGCTTATGTTTTCTTAAATGAAGGTGTTAAGAAGTAATTATTTTTTATCTTCTTGAAATAGCAGTACTTTTGCAATGATGTTAATTGTTAAGTGTTAAATTTTAAATGTGTCCATGAAATTCTAGTGTTATTTGCTTGCTAGTATGGATCATTGTTATGAGAGGAAAAAGTGTCATACCAGCATCCAGGTGTTACTTTGTGATAACTTCTCAGTATTTTCTTATTTTTCCTTCAAATCTAGATTCCAAATTACAGGAATGCAGTCATTGTGGCTAAGTCTCCTGATGCTGCCAAAAGGTAAGGAAGTTGGACATTCATAAAAATTCCTTTCGGGAGCTTCTCAAGGCAAAATGAGCTGTTTTGGAACTCAGCGTCTGTTGTCACATGGCCTGGAAAAGCTCATTGGCTCCAGCTTCCCCCACGTTATTGTCCTGTTCCCCACCAGGGCTTTATCGCCATTCTCCAAACAATACAAGGCGGTCCCTGAGTTACTCGGTTTTCCTGTGGGAGAAAAGGAAGTTCTTCCTTCAGGTTCTCAGGAAAAGGACGGCGGAGGGCTATGAGCATTTCTTAGGCAGTGGTTTTTTTAAGAGACCTTTTTGAACAAAGTTCCATCTTCTGAAGATGAGTTTTAGAATATTGGACAAAGGGTAGAACTGAAATTATCTAGAATCAGATGCTGGCGCACGTCTCAACTCCTGTGCCTCACTGTGCCTCTTGAGGCATTTACATTCTGGTCTGGGCCTTATCTTCTGATTTGTCTAAATCATTTGCGTGTCCCTAGAAGTTTGAGTAATGTTTTCATTTGATGATTAATAGTGATGAGATAGCAACACTTGGGTATTCTTCCCGTGGATTTCCCTGTTTCTTGTCTTTCTCGTAGGGCCCAGTCATACGCTGAGAGACTCCGTCTGGGGTTAGCTGTGATCCACGGAGAAGCCCAGTGTACAGAGCTGGACATGGATGACGGTCGCCATTCTCCCCCGATGGTCAAAAATGCTACTGTCCACCCGGGTCTGGAGTTGCCGTGTAAGATGAGCTCTATTATTTCACTTGTAAATCGAAGAAAGTTTTGAGTAATATGAATGGCTAGGAGCTAATACGTATATGGATGTATGCTATTTTGGTATTTTTTTAAAAGTTATTTTATTTTTTTAAAGATTTTTTTTTAATTTTTAAATTTTAATTTTTTCTTAAGATTTTTATTTATTAGAGAGAGCACTGAGCTGGGAGGAGCGGGAGAAGCAGGTTCCCCTCGAGCAAGGAGCTCCATGCAGGGCTCGATCCCAGGACCCTGGGATCATGACCTGAGCTGAAGGCGGATGCTTGACCGACTGAGCCACCCAGGCGCCCCTAAAGATTTTTATTTTTAAGTTATCTCTATACCCAGCGTGGGGCTTGAACTTACAGCCCTGAGATCAGGAGTCACATGCCCTTCCAAGTGAGCAAGCCAGGCACCCATCTTGGTATTTTTAGATAATTGAATGGTATTATATTGATTTCCCCTTTTGTAAAAGGAGATGGCATTATATTCACAGACTGTGTAAGGACAACTGAACTAATCTGGGTAGCACTTAGCATTCAGAGAGTATGAAGTAATTTTAGCTTTAGTGAAAAAATTGTAGGTGTGAAATCTTAAGCTTTTATATTTTGGTAAGGTGGGCGATAGCAACCGTTGATTATATACCAGGCTTTGGTGATCCAGGTAACTTTTAACACTTATTTTAGTAATACAACCCTTTGACCTGATCCCTGACTAAGTTGTTATTTTTTTTTTGTTAAAGATTTTGTTTATTTGAGAGAGAGAGAGAGAAGGGGCAGGGGCAGAGGGAAAGGGAGAAGCAGACTCCCTGCTGAGCAGGGGACCCCCCCCCCCCCCCCCCCCCCCAGTGTGGACCTCGATCCTGGGACTGAGATCATGACCTGAGCTGAAAGCAGATGCTTCACCGACTGAGCCATCCAGGTGCCCCCTGACTAAATTGTTATTAATCCAGCAGTGTGGAGGCTATTTATTTCCATGGATTTTGAGTGGTAATAACTGGCATTCTATACGGGAAGATAAAAGTATATTTTTTAGAGGAAGGAGATTATTTCTTTTTAAAATCTGTATCTGTTTGCCATAGCTCAGAAACATACAGAGATTAATGGGTGGGGAGGGGAATACCAGAATGGTTATACCCCAGACAGGCTACTTCAGACAGACTCCTGTCTAAGGTGTAAACTTTGGAGGTTTTTTTTTTTTTTTAAAGATTTTATTTATTTGAGAGAGAATGAGAGAGAGAGCATGTGAGGAGGGAGGGTCAGAGGGAGAAGCAGACTCCCTGCCGAGCAGGGAGCCCGATGCAGGACTCGATCCCGGGACTCCAGGATCATGACCCGAGCTGAAGGCAGCTGCCTAACCAACTGAGCCACCCAGGCGCCCCTGGAGATTTTTTATACAAGAGAAACAAGTAATAAACTCTTTTAATTTAAATTTTTGGTATTACAGAATTTTATTTGAGGATTTCATAATTAGAGTTCTTGACTAGGCTATATATTCCCATATTTGAAAATTTAAAAAGTATAAAATTCTTTATAGTAAAAAACTTTCCTACCCCACCTAAACTTTTCTGTCCCCCTGCCTCCCAGCCAGCTACTCTGATTCCCAGTGTAGTTGGTCTCTTATATCCATTCAGAGGCTCTATGCATATGCAGGCAAATACTGTATTTCTCTTTCTCTCATTTCCGCACAGCAGTAGTATATGAGACCACATTGTTCTACCCCTCGGTTTTCTCCTTCAAGAACTCCTTCCCCGCCAGTCTGTACAGCACCCTCAGCCTTTCACAGTTTCGTGAGTGTTCTGTTTTGTGGATAGACAAAAATTTTCTTCATCAGTCCCCTGTTGACGAACATGTGCGTTTTTCCAGTCTTTGGCTATGAAAAAGCGCCAGTAATAAACGTCTTTTGAGCCCTTATGTGCCAAGAGTTTTCTGAGCTCTTCAGGGGATCTTCAGACTTTGTCTTCACACAGCCTTGTAGGTATTTGTGTTAGGCGTTATTCTGCCGGTGAGGCAACTGAGCCACAGCCGGGAGCTGGTGGAGCTGGGGTTTGCAATGAAGCTTTTTAATTTGAACAAACTGCAGTCTTAGAGCAAAGTTGAAAGAATAATACAGAATTCCTCTCTACTCTTCAGAGACCCCAGATTTAACATTTATATGCATACTCTTTTCTTCTGAACCATTTGAGATGAGTTGTAGACATAATGTCCTGTATCCTAAATGCTTCACTAAATATTTCAAAAAACAGATACTCTCTTACATAACCACAGTGTAATTATCAGACTCAGGAAACTGACATTGTTACAATACTATTACCTAATCTGCAGACCATATTCATATTTTACCAGTTGTCCCACTGCGTCCTTTAAAACAAAGGAAAATCATTTCTTTCTGGCCCGGAACCCAATAAAAATCACACATCGGGGGCGCCTGGGTGGCTCAGTCGGTTAAGTGACTGCCTTTGGCTCAGGTCATGATCCTGGAGTCCCGGGATCAAGTCCTGCATCGGGCTCCCCACTCAGCGGGGAGTCTGCTTCTCCCTCCAACCATCCCCCCTCTCATGTGCGCTCTCTCTGTCTCATTCTCGCTCTCTCAAATAAATGAATAAAAATCTTAAAAAAAAAAAATCACACATCAGACTCAGTTGACCTTTCTCTTTAGTCTCATATAATCTGGAACAGCTCCTCTGTTCTTGGTCTCTTATGACCTTGATATTTTTGAAGAATACAGGCCAGTTCTATAGAATATCGCTTTATTGAGGCTTTTTTCTCATATTAGGTTGAATCAGTTATTACTGTGATTGTGGTCAAGTGGTGATGTTTCCAATTCCCCTTCTTCCCTATTCATTCATTCACCAATATCAGAATGGATTCATAGAATCTTAGTTTATTCCGGGTGTTCTAACCCGTTGCTACTGTTTATTGTAATGTTCATCTTGTCTTAGACTTGGCCAAAGGGCGCCTCTTCAAGCCCCTCTCTGTGTTCTTTTGACATGTTCGTATCAGTTTTTGATACTTCCTTACTTCCTGGTCCAACTAGATGTTCCATATTTATCTCGTACTTTCTTAGTCCTGGAATCAGTCATTTCAATGAGCAGCCCCAGTTCCTTTAGTGGAAAGTGGTATTTACAGACCAAGATGTGGGCTTTGGAGCGTGCGCTCAGTCACCACACGTTACTCCCTGTGACTCACATTGACTAACGTTCTTTCATAAGTGACTCAGTGTACTTACAGGATGAAGACCGAGAAATAGAATTTCTGGGTCAAACGTTATCTTGATAGATATTGCCAAATTAGTGTAATATTTTATATGGTGATGTACAGCAGTGTGTTCCCTCATAGACCTGTTAGTATGTTTACATTACAACTTTTACAGTTGCCATAGGATCATTCTCTGATTCCTTCTTACAGATTTGGGCAAGGGAATGCTTCAAAAAAATGCTAGTTTTGTGTAATTATACTTTCCAAATTAAATAGGCTTCATATCTATATATCAGTTATGCTTCCAGTATGTTTCAATAGTTTACTTCATAGTAATGAGGATGAGGGGCGCCTGAGTGGCTCATTCAGTTAAGCATCCGCCTTCAGCTCAGGTCATGATCTCAGGGTCCTGAGATCCAGCCCTG